TCTTTCTCTCCCTTCCTCCCTCCCTCCCTCTCTCTCCTCTCTCCTCTCTTCTCTCTCTCTCTCTCTCTCTCTCTCTCTCTCTCTCTCTCTCTCTCTCTCTCTCCTCTCTCTCCCTCCCTCCCCCCTCCCTCCCTCCCTCCCTCTCTCTCCTCTCTCCCTCCCTCCCTCTCTCTCCCTCTCCTCTCTTCTCTCTCTCCTCTCTTCTCTCTTTTCTTTCTCGAGTGATGTGGGTTGAAGGAGTCTGCGTGTAAATTATGGAGGCGTATTATTTCTGTCAGGGCGGCACGTGCTGGTTTGATGTTATTTTATATTCGGAATGTTAATTGTCATATCATTAACATTATTATGATTCACTTTGTGATATTCGTGATACATTTCAAGCTTGATGATCATCATTTAATGCGGATGTCAAAGATTATTTCATTATGATACTTGTTAATTATTGTATGATTTTGTGTCCTATGTAGATTTGTTTTTGTTTTTATTGTCATTCTCGTGTTTTTAATTGTCTTTCGTTTCCATTGTCTCTCAATGATATAATGGAGGAGGGAGATAGAGAGTGAGAATGAGATAAAGAGTGAGAGGGAGTTAGGGAGAGAGAGAAGGAAGGCATAAAGAAAGGAGGGAAGGAAAGAAGAAAGGGAGGAGGGAAGGAGGGGAAGAGAGTGAGAGAGTGAGTGAGTGAGAGAGAGAGAGAGAGAGAGAGAGAGAGAGAGAAGAGAGAGAGAGAGAGAGAGAGAGAGAGAGAGAGAGAGAGAGAGAGAGAGAGAGAGAGAGAGAGAGAGAGGGTAAACAGATAGATAGATAGATAGATAGGGAGATAGAGATAGAGATAGAGAGTGAGAGAGATAGAGATAGAGAGTGAGAGAGAGAGAGAGAGAGAGAACGAAAAGAAACAAAGAGATAGAAAAAGGAAAAGAAACAGAAATATGGAGAGGTGAAATACATAACAGAATCGTAGACCATAACAAGTTCAATTACATGTTCACCTTATTTACATCAAAAGGTTGGGGGAGGGGTGGGGGTGGAGAGGAAGGCCACCTACGCAGGTGTTTTTTTCTTCCAAATATATGTCGAACTGTTGGCTAGATGGGGGGAAGGGGGGGGGGGGGTGGAGGTGATCAGCTGATTTGTGTCAAGGTGGTGAATGACTAATCCCTCTGTTATGTTTACTTCGTCCTTCGTATTTCATGTTAATTTTTAGGGGGGAAGGGGGGGAGGGGATTATTTTTCGTACACGACTAATCCGTTCCGTTTTCTGTTCGAGTGTTATACTTTGTCTGAACACGACATACAGATCAGAAATTGAACATTTGTAACTCAAAATGCTGATGAATAGAATAACATCACCATGGCAACGAGAGAAGTATATAAGTAATATATCGTAGAGATAAAAGGACACATCAAAGTGGTTGTTGTACCCACTCCCCCCCCCCCCCTCTCTCTACTTCACTTACTCTAACTCCTCTCTATCTTTAACTTTCTCTCTTTCACTCCCTGATTCCTCCACCCCCCCTTTATCTTTCTTTATCTCCCTCTCTCCCTCCTTCCTTCACTCCCTCCCTCCCTCCTTCCCTTCTTCCCTCCTCTCTTCCTCCCTCATCCTCTCTCTCGCACTCCCTCCCTCCTTCTCTCTCTTTCCTACCCCCTCTCCTTCCCTCCCTCTCTCCTTCTCTCCCCCTCCCTCCCTCCCTCCCTTTCTCTCCCCCCCCCTTCTTCCTCACTCTCCCCATCCCCTTTTCTCCCTTCCTCCTCTATCCCCTCCTCTCTCTCTTTCTTTCTCCCTACTTTCTTCCTTCCCTCTCCCCGTCTCACCTTTTCTTTCTCCCTCCCTCCTTCCTTCTCTCTTCCCCTCTCACCTCTTCTTTCTCCCTCCCTCCTTCCCTCTCCACCTTTTACTTTTTCTCTCTCCCTCCCTTTCTCCCTCTCACCTTTTCTTTTTCTCCCTCCTTCGTGCCTTTCCTCTAACCTCTCACCTTTTCTTTCTCCCTCCCTCCTTTCTTCCCTCTCCCCCTCTCACCCTTTCTTTCTCTCCCTCCCTCCTTCCCTCTCCCCCTCCCTCCCCTCCCCACCTCCCTCCCTCTCCCCCTCCCCCACCCCCACCTCCCTTCCTCCCCCACTCCCTCCATCTCCCCCTCCCCCACCCCCCAACTCCCTCCCCCACCCCTCTCCTCCTTCCCTCTCCCCCACCCTCCCCAACCTCCCTCCCTCTCCTCACAAACACCGCCTTACCTCCCCCCTTCCCACACCCACAGCGGAGAGCAGATCAAGGAGCTACTGCAGGATCTCGAGTGGTCGTCAGCACCTCCTGACGTCGCCAGCCGCGTCAGCACCGTGATCTCCACATTACTGAAGGAGATACAGCAACTCCAAGCCCATCACCAGAGCCTGGAGGTCATGTACAAGAAGTAGGTCAGACGTTTTGTGTTGTACAAGAAAGTGGGAAATTTACTTGTACGTGTTGTTTCGGTCGTTTGGTTGTGGTTGTTTTGATGGTGAA